ATATAATTACTCGTATTCTGATGATGATTATTACTGTCTTTAGACAAAATGAGATAATTTGGTGGCCATAGATATAGATATATAAAAAGCACAAGAAGAGATAAAAAATGGAAGAGAAGATTGGAAAAAAGAGAAATACGAGCGATGATTGAATGGTGAAGATTGATTACAATTATTGATTTTACGTTCTTTGGGGACCATGCTGCCGAAAAGTGGGCCTGGGGTGGCTTTTCGGCCGAAACAGAACGCTCGAACGCTCGTGTGATGCGTGTCACACGCGAGCTGCGTATCTATTCCAACGCGCCCGCTGCTATATTCATGCGTATGTATATACGTGTAAAACTCTTCGTGCGTTATGGACGTCGCTCGGGTCGTCTAGATATGCTGTCTTACAAATTCGAGCGACCCCCATGTGTCTCGCCTGTGTGACCCGTCGGTTTAGACCGAGGTCTATTCTGTCTTGTAATGTACTGCTGACGATGAGAGATGAGGAAAATGACAGTAAATAATGAGAATGTGAGTGGAAGATAAACAACGGACGCGAAACTAATAATAAATTATCATAATAACGATAAAATAATACAATGAAAAATGAGCAAGTTGGAATAGGAGCAGAATGAAGGATGACGAAGTCATATGAATATTATAGAGAATGATTAGATGCCGATGAAAAAGAAAGATCTACGAACTGCCATATAGCATCTCCTGTGTATGAGTGACAGTGCCGCACATCTCGGGGAAAGCTGAAACGGCGACGGATGCCAAGCGGCCGATGTGGGCGCCACCGAGGGAGCCACCTGCCAGCGCCCCTCTGGTCAGGCCCTCGGACGGTTGCCTAATCCCACGTCGTGGCCTCCGGGCTTTGTGGTCGTTTCACCTGTGTCTTACTTCCAAACGTCAACAACCGAAAACAAATGCAGACAACACTAAGGGACAGACACACACACTAGCATCTCTATGTTTTTCTCTACCCATAGGCATACACACATAAGGTGGTGAATCTACACACTTATTAACACTAGATCAATACCCAAATCAGATTCACATTACTTGGCTGTACATTGGCCCGTGGGGCGAACCTGACACGCCAATCGTCTCCTTGATCAACTGATGTAGTTTCAAAGACTCACCCTTTCTATCCTAGACAACTACGTAGTTCTAGACACTTTTTTTGTCAAAAAAAATAAAACAAAAACAGTCGTACTGCAGTGGCCGATTGCTATACGCGTTGGTTAACCACGCACGCGGAGCCGGACACTCGGAGCCTACGATCGCGGCAAATGAGCGACGACACGAACAGACACCAAAAATAACAATAACGCAACCCAGCTCTGAGCCATTGCATCTTTAGGGAAGAGAAACACGCGCGTACACCTGCAGGCAATGTCGTAGTCACTTATGACTACCGGGCATGTTGTTATTGGAAGACCGCATAAAGAAGGCTTCGTTTCAATCGGTAGCCTTCAATTCACAGGGCCTTGCTCCGACCTAAAAGGCCCGATGAACCCTCTATTCCTCCCGTCCAAGCTCATCCAGGTCCGATCTCATTGTCAAAATCAGCTGCAAGAGCTCTGCAAAGACAGAATTCAGCTGTGTGAACAATTGGTGCTTTAAACATTGGTACTAAGCTGATCCGCGCCCGCAGTCACACGGTACTGCGTGAGTAGCATCCGATTAGATAGGCGGATTAGATGAAATTCGCGAACAACATACAATCTATGGCACAGTCGAAACGCCAGAAGTACATCTTGGCATACAGGTCACAAAGTGCAGTGCCATGTTGAACATCCAGCGAGAATCTCGTCGTCACCATACCGCACGGCCAGTTGTTGGAAACTTGCCAACTATTTGAACACAACAGCTTTAGCCTGGTTCTTCTGTTCTGGAACGCAGATATATTCAAGACACCCACTATTAGTCACGTATGTACACGTTGATGAAACAGCCGATGGTACCAGACATGGTTGCAGTTTCTGACTTCAGGTCTCTCTCGATTGAGCTGGACAGCGCATTGAGTTGGCCCACGCTCACCTACATTTCGTCCCCGAACATACCCTTCTCCTTTTTGTTTGTAGCCTGAATCGGACACAAGAACAGACTGAACCACATCAGAACCTATGATGATGATAACGAGTATTCTCATCGTGACGCTCTCCTTTTTTGAAATCAGCTCAAGTGCGACAAAGCACCAGCTATATAGACTTTTACACAAGAAGTTACCGTATACACACACAGACGTAACTCTATACACATCGAAACATGCACAGAATACATGTAACCTCTTTCTCACATACCCTTACTATATATATTTGCGTGTATGTATATAGAATATTGTATGAGTAGCAAGATATCGCAGCGAGGATCAGCAACCCACAATCATGAGTTGACCAAGCCGGCTGCTTACGGGTTTATTCGAAAGACACACCTTTGCCCGAAGCGTTCTTCTATATCGCTGCAGCTCTTCTTTTATGTGCTCGAACAGATTATATAACAGGGAGGAGACAGATAACTGAAACGGGGATATAGCGATGAGATAGGACAGAGAGGGGGGTTAATGGGGGGTAGACGAATAACACAGCTAAAAGAAAAGAACTGCTGCCTCCACCCATCAAGCTCGAGACGATATACGATAGCACCACACATCATAACTCTGAGTTCGACGACTCCATGCCAGATTCGCGCCCATCCGCCTGCCCCCTCCGCCCACTTCAAAGTAGAGGGAGGCGCAATAGTGGACCGTGCTGTGGCGTTTGGCAGTACTCGTGTTCTCTATACGATGCTGGCAAAAAACAATACACATTCATTAAAACAAATATGCGAAAAACATGTGTACGCACAATGGCGCGGCTACACGTCTAAACTCACAAAAACAGCAGTAACAACAACAAGGACAACAAAATGGTGTCAGCAGGCCGGGCTTCGACGATGGTGAAAGGTCGACCATAGCTTAGTAGAGCAAAAAAATGTTCCTGTGCTTTCAGTATAAAAATTACCGAGATGGCAGCAAACGAGGAGTAGCTTCAGACATCACGAAGGACATTGCGTCAGCACAGAGAACATCTTAAAAAGACAAATAGTTAACAACAGCTCCGCTAGTCGTCCAAGATCGTCCCGGCCTGCAAAACTCTATATGACTGTATGAATAACTGCGATCGATTTTAATAATGCGAAATATATATATATATATATATATATATATATATATATATATATATATATATATATATATACCAATATTAAGTCGTAATATACTAAGGTAATAAAAATTACTATTATGATTACTATATATAAGGCTAAAATAACAAGAATAATTACGATAATAAAAGTAAGCCTAGCACTGATGATACTAATAAAGATGATTAACTATGATGTAGGAGAAATAAGATATACTGAGCTGATGAAAGAGACTGAAAAAGGTACGAGAGAGAGCGAAAGAGAGAGAGCGCGAAAGAAAACAAAACGAAAAGCGAGAATCGATGAAAACGGGAGAAAGAGCAAACCGAGCGAAAGAATGAGACGTTGAAAATAAAACAGATAATAACAACAACAATAATTATTATTATTATGATAACAGATAACAGGAGGATGCCAGACGGTGGTGAACTGGATACGTAGATGCTAAGGATGAAGATGAGAAATAACTCTGTCTGAGTGACACTAAATAATAATAACAACAAATAATATTAATACTACTAATAATAAAAATATAAATGATAATAATATTAAACAGTAACAATAACATCTACAGAAGCTGAAGCGAAAATGAGAAAGAAGGAAGCAATGACGAAACTGAAGATTGCGAATACAGGAGCAAAAAATGGGTAATAACAATAAGGAAGATTGGTAAAAGGTAACTATCAGTGCTGATAATTACACTAATGATTTTGACGGTAATGATTCTGAAAGGAGGACGAGGGTGAAGAGGTTGCAATCGAACGAAAGAGAGAGCGAAAGCGCGAAAAACAGAGAGTAAGATGATGATTATTATTATATTAACAAATGATAAAGGCAGTGGAGACGATGATACTAATAAAAATAACAATAACGAAGATGATGATGAAAGGGGGACGATGCGCGATGACGAGACGCAACGAATCTGTGAGACTGTGGCAGTGGATCTGAAGTGGGACGGGACACTGCAGCGAATGATGAAATACAACTTCAGCTATAGCGAGGTGAGGTGCGACCATAATTGAAGGCGGTTTTAAGCAGGCAAGAATAATTGCGAACTATATCGATTCTCCGGGACGACGCTATAATTAGCGTCTATTTGTGACGATTCTATTGATTATCCTTATTGACGATGAACCATATTTCACTAAGGGATAAAATACGAGACAGCGGAAGAGCAAGAAAGATAAGAGGGGACGCGCTCATTGAGACCCTTGGGCCGGCAGTAATGCGCAGTCTATTGGTTTCAACGGCAATGAATAGGATAAAAGACTGGTGAAACAGAGGTCCCGAGCAGGACTCCCAGCCGCTGGCGTCCCGTCCCTCGAGTGCAGACGACGGCTCTAGATAGCGTAAATAAATAATTGAAGATGAATACACCAACAACAATGGCAAAGGGTGTTTTCATTTTGAATAGTTGTTACAAATGAATTAAATATATAGGTATTATATAAGCAGAGGTTTTGTGCATGAGACAAAGTTTAGCGTAACTTTTACCGTGAAAAATCCTACTGTGATCTCTTAGGATTCCCCAACTTTGTTATATAGAGGTAAGAAAAAGATATAGTTACGAAAAAGTTGCTCGTGGTTCATCCCTTGGTAGTTTTGACGATGTGCTATGTAGTGGACATATGTGCATACATGGTCGATTTAGCTGGCGTCGAAGATAACGAAGGAAGTACGGTACGATGAACGCTTGATTTACTAAGTACGGCATGTTATG